CAGGATCGGACATTGTTTCGTTCTGCTGTGCATGGGGTCGCTATGAGTCGGTTCCGACTCGATGGCACCTGACAACAACAACAACAATGAGATATGACTACAAGATAAGGCTTTCTGCTTGCTTCCTTGAAGATGTACAGCCTCGGGAACCCTATACAAGGTTGCTCTGAGTCACAGTGGACTTCACGGCATGGAATAATGTAAGAACATCAACAGTTGCTGGTGGGTATGTGACGAACACTGAACCTTCACAATGAGGGTATACACATAAAGCCAGCCTCTGTTTTCTTCCAAACGTTTTACGGGTGTAATAGTTCTATGAGACGGCTTCGAAAGTTTGTGGAAAATTTTTGTTGTTGTTGCATTTGACACAGAAGATTATTAATAGTTATAACATGTTAGAGTAAAAACTTCTTTCTTGGTTTTGACGTTTAGGTCTGTTTATTTTTCAATTACGCCATTTTTATTGAGCCAATATTCATTTTTATTATTATGGAACCAATGTAATACACACAGTGTACAAGGTTGTAGAATGAAAAGTACTTCTACCATAGTAGTCAATGAACTGCTGACTCCTTTCCCCCAAAGTAAGCCCGTAGAAATAGCAATGATCGGCAACTGGGTCCCAGAAATGATTGAGTGAGGCTGAAGATGATCTTGAATTTGTTTATCTATAGCATGTCATTGGCTGCAATTAAATGTCTCCCCAAGAAGAAGAAAACAAGGGTGACGTTTCAAAGTAACAGTTTCAAATGGGTGCTACGGTTGGGACCAGAAGAGAAGATCTACAACAGATAAGACTTAAAAAGTTTTCAGATTCAACTGCCAAAAAGCTTGCTGAACGCCAGGGGTCTTTATAAACCAGCTCACGAAGAAAACAAACCTAACAGATCCAACAAGCTCCTATGTTGAAGACACACATGTTCTGAAAGAACTTATTTGAGGAGAATAAAGGGTAAGTATTACACACCAAACAACTATCACTGTCAAACTATTATTTTTTGCATAGTTATTCCAGGAAATTTTAATGATAAACCTTCAAATCTCCTATTTCTTTTTTAGTATTTTAAAAGCATCAAATAGGGCAGCTAACTAAGAAATCAAATGAAACATCTTATCTGATGGTCTGAATCTTTTTTTTGTTTTTGTTTTTGTTTTTACTCCTTGCATAGCCAAATAGGAGAGATTACCAGGGCTTTTAACTCAAGGGCACCCTATAGGGAATAAAAAAACGACAAATATTTTTGAAGCCGTGAGCTTGAACTACCAACCTTGTGATTCAAACCAACCTTGCGTTCCAGCGCCACAATAAATTTATATAACAAGATTACGTTGTTGTTGTTAAGTGCCATTGAGTTGGTTCCAACTCACAGCGACCCTTTATAGGTTTCCAAGGAGCGGCTGGTGGGTTTGAACTGCCGACTCTGCAGCTCAAACTGACTTTGCGGTCCAGCACATTGTGCTGCAGTTTTTAGCAGTTCAGCCAAATCATGGTGGTCAGTGTCTCTGCAAGTCTCTTGGCTTTCCTCTCCTTGAAGAAATGTGTCAATACCGCCTCTAAGCAGCACACCATTGCACACAGCACGTAAAGCAATACAATCCTATTTGTATTAGGAAGACTGTGTGCTTGAGTACCCCAGCCCGCCCCCCACCGGGCAGATGTTCCCTATGTCTCACTGACTAGAACTGGGACACAAAGGGTAAG